GTATCCAGTATTTCTCAAACTTGGTGACTTTAAGTCATGTGAACTTTAGTTCTCAGAATTCCAGCATTCTGGCTAGGGAATTCTGGGAGTTGAAATCCACATGTTTTAAAGTCACCAAGTTTGAAAAACTCTGGAACTAAGAATCTAATGGTACATTTTCCTTAATTGATACAATACAATACAATACAATACAATACAATACAATATAATACAATACAGCACAGCTTTACCCAATCTGGCTATTTAATTCCCGAAGAGGGACTTTGCAAGTATATTCAGTGTTTTTTTTATGCTGTCTGTGCTGTTTTATGCATTTATATCTTTCTATTACAGTACATTTCAGTTTTTACTGACCACAGTAAAGCTTTACATAAGATACACTTAGTAATTTAATAAATTAGTATTTGATTCTCAAACTAGTTTTATAATTTAGGCAATTTGTATTCTACCACTCGTAAGGTTTTGTAGTTTGACCCATGCTATTTATTTCTATTAATCATTCAAAAATGCCTATGTATTTGAGCCTTGGAATCTTTCCCCCCCAGAATTTATTATTTATTTATTTATTTGATTTTATTTATTTGATTTATATACTGCCCTACCCCCGAAGGACTCAGGGTGGTGAACAGCCAAACAGTAAAAATACATAGATACAAAATTTAAAAACAAAGTAAAATTGAATTTACAATATGCTAGTCAATGGTTATATGTAATAAAGATACTAATTCTAATATTCAACTTTAACTATGAAGACCATCAATGGCCTTGTTTGTATAGCACCTTAAAACGCAGTAAATTTTAGTTTAATATGTTGTTTGAACCCTTCCATATGGCTCATTTTCTGGTTCAATTGTTATGAAAACCCATATGGTTGGGGTTAACTGATTAAATGATAGTTAAAATGGGAAGCATTCATGTTTGTTTTAATTTCTTTTCTGCAAAGCCAAGGGCTTCTGAATTCTACACCCATAAGGAGACAAATGTTTCCCCCCCCCCTGAAATGGAAGTCAATCACAGTTTCCTTGTTTCAATATCCTCAATCAGAGCAACCTGATACCTGTAATGTACTAGCCATTGATTCACTCAATTCCTTTGGGTCAGCAGTTTGACTGTAGCTGCCTACGGCTAATTTGCAGGAGGGACACTGCAAGTGATTTTTTTCTTAATGGAAATGTTCAAGCCATGTAGGGATGGTCTTCATTTTGTGTTGGAGGAGGAGCCTTGTTTCTCCTTATTCTGGCAAAATAAACAAGCACAGGGTCTTGCAATATTGACAATTTTTGTCACAATTCCCTCCTTTTTACAGTTGACCAGCAAAAATAAGCCTACCTTATTTTTCAAGCTATTCATGGACTTCTGGCTGGTTTTTGTGATGAAGATTGGTAAGGTATCTTGAATCCCTTGTTTTACAATCATAACAAACTGATTCATGAAAGTTTCCTTACCATAATCACCTCAGAAGCAACTTGGGTTTAACTGATAATTGTTATATCCAACCTTTTTTTATAACCATGGCACCTTCAACTCCCAATATTCTCCAGCCAGCATGTAGGAGAATTCTGGCAGTTAACATCAGGGATAGAAACATATCAGCAAAAGTCTAGGAAAGGAAATGCAGTGCAAATCTACATACAGCTACCAGAAAATGACTTCATTAAAAGTTATTTTAAAGTAAGTAAATTGTGCAGAAAAAATTGTAGGCAGGTAGGTACTGGAGGTTATTTTTTCCCCCAGGGTACAAGTTTTTCAATATTTTTAATTCTGTGGAAGGGATATGGTCAGGTACAGATTACAAGATTTAGGAGTTTAAAAAAATAGTAACTATCACTATTTTTATGACACACAACCATGTTGCTGGGGAAAAAAAACCCATACATTGCCAAAGAATTATATTAATTAAAAAGTCACTCTGAGTTTCCAGGGCTGATGGTAAACGCTTGAGGCCCTGTTCCTAGTTCGACACCTTATTAGCTACACCATCTTGACTCTCATGGGTTTTTTTTTTTTTAAATATCTGGTCATTTTAATGTGCTTGCATTTTGAAATTATATAATCCCTATTTGAGAAACCACCTGATAAAACACTTGATAAGCAGCATAAATTTGGTTATCACAGTAGAAAACACCATGTATGTACAAAAACTTTATGGAGAAGGTATTAGATGGGTGTCACTTGGTTATCCTATTGTCCTAGAATTACAAGTTCAGCATGATATACAGGGGAGTGTTCTCCTTGATTTCAGAAAAGTTATGTGAAAAAAATTGAGTTTCTTCCAAGTTGAAAGATAGGATAAAATATACATAATAAGAGTAATAGCAAGGAGTACAAAGGTATGCACAAGCTGCTTGCTGTCATAGTACGAGAATGTTTAACTTGAAAACTCAGCTAAAATTGCTTTAAAATGAGATCTAATATTCCCTTAAATCAGCAATGAGTTTGAATGCGAGAAAGATAAGACAAACAAGAATATAAACTTAAGATTTCTGGCTCTAGATTTCTTTTCCTAGTCTCCCACACAGCATTACAGATGTTTCTTATTTTAAAAAACCATTTTCTCTCTCCTCACATCACAAGTCTTGCAGAGCCCCTTATTTCTGTAATTTTGCAGAATGCAGTATCACACTGTAAAGTTAACAATCCAGCCAACAATCTTCATACAACATCAGCATAAGCCTTTTTATTTGTTCTAATAGTGTGAATATTAGAACAAATAATATTATTAAAGAAAGAATATTAAAGAAAGTTTTAAACTGAAAGTTCATTCTAATCAATAGTTTTAAAGTATTTCAATTAAAAATACCGGGAATGGAAGACTGAGTTTATTTTACATACTAACATATAAATTCTGATTTGTCATTGGTGAAAGGAGCTTTATTTATTCAAATTTGTTGTAGCCACCCAAGTTTGACTGACTCATAATTACAATTTATTTAACCATGGTTTATTCAATAAACTACAACTGGATTTTACCTGGAGGTAAAGCAAACCATAATGGCTAGATTTACACAACAAACTTTGTCAGAACAGAAAAAAATTGCATTATATGTAAGTCTGGTCAATATATTTTTCCATTTTATTTCCTTTTGTGGCAACTTATTTACTTCACCTTAAATACTCACTGCATTTTTTGGAGATGCATGATTTCAGGCTATATATATTTTGATAAATCTCAAAGCTGTAGGCTAGACAGAAATCATACATATACGGTACATGCCACAGACAGGAGCTTGTTTGGCATAGTGGTTAAGGCATCAAGCTAGTAAGCAGGAGACTTTGCAGTTCTAATCCTACCTTAGGTACAATGCATATATCGTACAGGTATCTCCCAGAAGAATCACAAACTTGCTAAAGACATTTTGGTCTAGCATGTTGTACAAATCCATCTAGTTCACAGTCCAATATGTTGTGAGAAACAATTTCACAAAGCATTCAAGTCCAGGTAATTTCTAGCACAGAATAGTTAAAATAGTCAAGATGGAGGCTGCAATGGTGTGATCAGATTTCAACCTTTTTATTTGCATTGTGACATGGGCAAAAATTCAATTTAATGTTGTGGGCATCATTTTGACTGTTTTGACCATATCCTGGGGACATCCCCCCTCCCCATTCTAGCCAAATGCTTCCTAGCACCTTCAAAATAATGTCTGTGGTCAATTCTCCACATTATAGTAAACCATACTATAATCTGGCTGTAATTTAGCGTGTGGACATGAATCTAAGCCATTCAACCTCAGTGCTTTAATTCAAAATTAATAGCTGAGGTGCTCTTTTCTTTTAAAGAAAATAGCAGAAGGAATGATAGGGAAGTATGGGTTACCGGATATTTGTTCTTTGCGTCTCTCATAAAATGCCAAGCAGAGAAAAAGTAACATTTATTCTTCTCTTCCTTACTAGTAATTATCTCTTTCCACTTATTACTATAACCATGTTTCTTATATCTTTCAATTTATATTGTTTTTGTTTCCTAGTATGATTTGATAGCTTATTAGTAACATTGACTATGACTAAATGTTGTATCTTTTTATTCTTGATGAATGCATTTTATTCTCCTTATGTACACCGAGAGCATATACAGCAAAGACAAATTCCTTGTGGGTCCAATCACACTTGGCCAATAAAGAATTCCATTCCATTCCATTCCAATTTATAAAAGCTTTGCCTGGAAATACAACTCCAGACCTATTCTATGTATTATGAGGTCGTATGGAGGTGGCAAAGTATTCAATAAATGCTTTGTATGGAAGCATCTTTTTTTCCTCTCTCCTGTTTTGGACTGGAGCAGATCTGTTATTTCCAAGCACACTTGGAAGCAAGTACTTGTTTGGAGCAAGACCCAATGACCTGAGTTAAACGGCCTTCTTAGGAAACTGATACAAGATCTGGCTTGTTCCTTGTTGCCTTCTCCACTTCAGTTTCACAATCAAGAGTTGCCAATGAGCTCTTCTCCTTGCGCCCTTCGCCATTTCATGGGGTCTGACAAAATATTTGTACAGGGCTGATCGATTCCAGATGAAGCACGAATTGAGGTTACTTCTTAATCAATTCGATATATGGTACAATATAATATATTAATTTAAAAAACGTGCCCCGTTAGTAGGGAGCGGAGGAGGAAGGGATTACGGTTGTTTTAGTAATATTGAGATCAAATGAAGGGACAGTTGTTGTTGTTGTTTTTAATTTGCAAAGGGCTTCTTCGGTCGCAGTAGAGGAAGTCCAAAGACTCGATAATCGGGGATTAAAAAATAATAATAATATATGACTATGAAGAGATCCCTTCGTTTCCTCTGAAACACAAAAGTCAAACGGACGACCGCGCCCACCCCCCACCTCGGAATTCTGCAGTCTCGGTTGTGGGCGGGGCTAAGGGTGCGATTAAAATAAGAGGCGGGGCTACAAAGCATGCCGGCTGGGCTTCGATTCCCCTCCGCAGGAGAAGGGGTGGGGCTTGTGCCTCGGCTTCCATTTCTGGGTGGAGCCTCGGCGCGAAACTCGGGTAGCGTTTGGCCTCGAGGTGGGCGGGGCCAGCCGTGCCGCTGTCTGCCGCACTCGCTTTTTTTGCCTCTCGCTTTGCGCTGAATCCGCTGTTGGCGCTGGCAGTTTCCGCGGCGGCGGAGGCGGCGCTGCTTTTTTTGCGCGCTTTCCCGTTGCTGCCTTTAATTCTCCAATGAGAGGCTCCGAGGAAGGCTGCTTTTTTTGCCTCAGGATCGAGGACCAGCCTGGGATGACCTCAGGTTTGCTCTGGGCTGTTTGAGCAGCGCGGCCCCGTCCAAGGGAATCTAATGGAAGCGATGTCCCCGCAACAGGATCACGTCGGCCAGGGGCGATCTTCCTCCCTGACCGGAGGGAATCGCCGCTCCGCCGCTCCGGAGGGCAAAAAGGTGAGAGAGAGCTCCGACGCCGCGTGCAGAATCGCCCACCGGGGAGGAATGGGAAGCCGGTTTCCTTCCTTAGGCAAACGGGGCGGGGAAGAGAGGCTTTGCGCGCTTTCCTTCTTTCCTTCCCTTGCAGGTGGATGGAGGTCGCTCCGTTGCTCGTTTCCTTGGAAGTCGGGCCGGTTCATTGCAACCTTTTCCCACGGCCGGGTGGGTGGGTGGATGGGGGGGCTGGTCGTTGTGCAGCCCCAGAACCTGAAAGCTTTTGGCGGGTTGACTTGGGAGGGAGCAAAACCCCACGGAGACCGTCGGGATTCCCTTCAGGCTGGCGCTGCGATCTGTTTTAAAGGGGGTTTTTTTGGGGGGGAAGGAGGGTTTTCCCCGGGCGCTGCTCGTGTCTCCCCTCCCTCTTTCCCCTTCTGCCTTTCCCTCGGGGGTTTTTCTCCCCGCCGCTTATGCCCCGTTTATATCCCCCTTTTCCTGAATGGAGTCGTTTGCCTCCGCGTCTCGCAGGGGGGGGGGAAAGAAATGAAACGTGAGAACGCGACCCTATGGAGATCGCCATCCCGGCTCTTCCCGGGAACCTTTTCCCGTATAGCCTGCAGTCACCTCGGGGGTGGGTGGGTGGGTGGGAAACGCACGCTGGGCCCGCGTCCCTCCTCCGAGGACTTTCAGCCGTCGGTCACTGTGAGTCGTGACTCGGAGGAGCTTCGCCCGCCCACAGCTGAGCCCCGATCTCTAGCGCGCTTGTGCCCGCAATACGCCGCCTCCTTTCAAAGCATCCGAGGGACCCTCCGCGTGGTTGGAAGGGGAGGTGCGTTATTTCCACCACCACCCCCCGTCCCTCCGTCCCCACACCTCCTTTCCAGCGGGAGGGTTTGACTCCCCCTGCCCGGGTTCGCTTGGCTCTCGCGGGTGCCTGCACTTGACCGACCGGGGATGGATGGATGGAGGCGAGCGCACTGAGAGCCCATGCGCTCTTTGCAGCCGCGCGGGGAGCGCGCTCGTGGCTTAGAAATATTAGCTTTCTGAGTGGGGTGTGCGTGTGTGTGTATTCATGCATTCATGTATGTATGTATGTATGTATGTATGTATGTATGTATGTATGTATGTATGTATGTAGAATCCACGATCCACTAACTTGAAGATGGTTTCATCCGAAGGACCGGGTGCTCTGCTGGCATCGCCTTTGGAATAACAGGAGCCGCGTCTCCCTCGGTGCTTTTTCAGTGGAAGAGGCGTAAATCCGAGAAAGGTTGGCACCTCGTTTTGGTTTGAGTGGTTTCCTCCTCTGAAAGTGTTCCTCTTGGAGATCTAATTCTGAGGTTGTTTTTTTTTTTCCCCCCTCCTTCTAAACTACAAGCCCTGGGTAGGAACTTGAACGGTGAGATTTAATTCACAGGCATGGGGTGATGCTAATGGGGAGGCTCCCAGTGCTTTCTATACTTTCCTCCTGCTGCCATTAAAATAACTTTACGTAAGGAAGGTTAGTGTTGATATTCCCAAATTAGATTTCGGGAGAGAAGAAAGAGACTGGGGTGAGAACTCTGAGCATAAGGCAACCAATAAGTGTGTTACTGTGTTATTTGGACTCTCGATGTGTGTGTGTTGCGTCTTTTGTACTAGATTCCAGCAGCAGGAATTCTAGAGATGTCCAAACAGGACATCGGGATGTTATCTTTTCTTTCTATATTTGTTTTCCCTTGACGGCAGCTAGATTATGACACATGCAGGACCTGGAGCTGCTTTTCAATATTACTTTATTTAGGAATAGATCATGTTGCATTTCAAAACAGTTTACTTAGAGTGGTGTGTAGAGGACTAACAAAATTTTGTAATGTTGAACAGTCTGATTCAGGACTGGCTTGTTTTGGCCAGACTTGCGTTGTTCTAAATATTGCATTTTTTCCTTCTCTTTGCCAGTTTGGTCTTATGGTTAAAGGCTCCAAGCTTAGAAACTGGGAGACTGTGAGTTGTAGTTCTCTCTTAGGCATGAAAGACAGTTGGGTAACTTTGGCCCAGTTACACTCTTTCAGCCCTACCCACCACATAGGGTTGTTTGCTGGGAAAATAGGACGTCGAAGGAGTATTATATATGTTTCCCTCCCTGAGTTATTTATGAAATAATAAAGGTGGGATATAAATAAATTTTGTGACCACTGGTAATGTTCAATTCCAACTGGATTTATGCAATTCTTTTTTTTGTTCTTGTCTTTCTCTAAACCTTAAGATTCTCCCAAGCCTTCCACAATCTTTCTTTTAGGTGTGGAAGGTGCTTGTTTGGACTGTTTAAGGATGCAAACTCAAAGAATGAGCTTCTTCATAGTATATAGCTTAGTTTTTTGTAGTGGCTAGTGGTTCTTACACTGGAGCTAGTCATTCTTTCGATTTCTCCCCACATTCTTGTACATATTTTTACCTTGGCATCCAAGACAATGAATGGCTTGTCCCTGTCAGAACCTTAGAGTTCAGCTACAGACCTGAGTATTCATTAGTTGCTGCCATCCATTTATGAAATCTGGATCACTTTTTCTCTTGTAGATATAAATAGAAATGGCTCTGAGACCATACTTTTGTTATACAATCTGTTCTGTGGGCTTCTGTCATATTTATTGATTGCAAAAACCTTTACCACAATTAGAATGCAGATAAATGAGTTCTTTTTAAAAAGTATTTCCAGATCACCAGTTTTCTGACTCCAAAGTCGCGTACTCTAGAACAGTGATGGCGAACCTTTTCAGCACCGAGTTCCCAAACTGGAATGTGCATGCGCGCACCGGCTACCTGGTCGTCTGGTTTTGCGTGGGTGCACCGGAAACCCGAAGACCAGGTGGCTGGCCGGAAACCAAAAGAGCAGCTGGCGACAGCACGCGTGCCACAGAGAGTTTCTGAGACTTGAGTTCCTGAAACTACAGATGGAGTGTATTGTGAACTCAAGGATGGCTCTAATAAAAGTGGGATGGAGGTGGATAGAGCTTTGAGTGATTTACAGTGGATGGGTAAAATTTCAGATGATTGTATTGGTCCTACAAAAGTAATAACTAATAGCTGTCCCTGCCACTGATCATAAATTTGGTTGCCAAAACAGAATGCCTCAGGTAGAAGGGATGATACCAGAGACTGCCACTTGTCAGAAATGATGTAGGTTCTCCTGCTTGGACGGGGGGTTGGACTAGATGACCTACAAAGTCCCTTCCAACTCAATCTGTAAATTTTGCGATTGTATCTTTTTTCCTGTCACAGAGGAGAAGCCATTTTTCTCCCTCTTCATTTCTTTCTTTTTGAAAAAGACAAGACTTGTGGACTTGCTTCTGGGACTGATCACAAATTTTGGGCTGAGCAAGTTCTTAATAATTTAGGTTTGCAAGCATGAAACACTGGCTTGCACTTGGATTCAGAGTATGAATGTCTAGGTGTCCTCTGAAAAAGAAAAAGAAAAGAGATTTTCCATATCCGAAGTCTGCCTGCCTCAGTTTAAGAACTAAAGTTTCAAGCTTCAGTGTCCACACTTAGAAAATTTGAGTACAGGAATTTTCAGCAGGATTTCTAGGAAAGCAATATAGTACAAGAAAGGATGAGTGACCAGCTTCAGTCAGCAACGTGAGAAAAACTAGAATTGTTATCTGGATGGTGCAGCAAGATTTTAAAAATAAAGGATGGCAGAATCTAGTAGGAAAAGGAGCATTTGAATTTTATCTCAGGCAGGGAAATTTTGGGTTAAGAAGAAGTAACCAATAAGGTGATCCTTGAGGTTGGAAACCATCACTTTAGTAATTAAGATATTCCAAGTGTTAAGATGGTGTTTTAGTGCTTGTATGCTCCTTGTACAAAATTCCTCCCTTTCACTCTTAATGTGTGTGGGCTTGCCACAGTGTAAGAAATCTGGCAAAAAAAGAAGTGTGATTTATGAGTCAGTGATACATTGGGATCCTGAATACTTCAGCATCTTCTTCCTTCTCCCCAGTTTTTTAAACTCTGTTCCTCCTAGAGACTATTCCAGAATAAATAGAAGGAAGAGTAAAGGAGGAACCAAGCTAAGAAGGAAATCTCCTATTTGCAGGGTTTGCATTAAAATGTGATTAAATCCCAGCCAGCACATTCTCCTTAGAGAATTAGTACAGCAGGCTGCCAGATGCTTATTGGGATTTTAAAGCCTGCCTGGATTATTATAGAGCACATCATAAATATTTCCAGTCCCGATCACGTTGGGAGGAGAAAAATGGGAACACCATATATGTAGTTTCTCTCTTGGATGTCAGCCCTCAAGCCCAATGTGAGACTGGTGTACTAATAAACAGTTCACTGGAGTCAAGGACATTTGAACATCTGAAATGTTCTGCAGTTTGGCATTCAATCGAATGTTTCATTTCAACAAGAAATCATTTTAGTTTATCCTCACAGGAATAAAGGCGTTGGGTCTGTTGCACTGGGAGATAGAAACGTTCAGGACATCCAAAAGGCTGAACAAATTTAAAAGCCTGAACCAATTGGAGGATAAGATTTTCAGTTTTCATGACCACCGGAATGTCATGACTAAGAAGACCCCTTCCTATTGGGGTGTTTGTTGTTGTTGTTAGTTGCGAAGTTGTGTCCGACCCATCACAACCCCATGGACAACGTTCCTCCAGGCCTTACTGTCCTCTACCATCCTTTGGTAGATGGTAAGCTTACACCTACTGCTTCAGTGACTCCATCCAGCCACCTCGTTCTCTGCCGTCCCTTTCTTGTTTTGCCCTCAATCGTTCGCAGCTTTAGGCTCTTCTCCGGTGAGTCCTTCCTTCTCATTAGGTTGCCAAAGAATTTGAGTTTCATCTTCAGGATCTGGCCTTCTAAAGAGCAGTCAGGGTTGATCTCCTCTAGGACTGACCAGTTTGAACGCCTTGCAGTCCAAGGGACTCACAGGAGTCTTCTCCAGTACCATGTTCAAAGGCCTCAATTCTTTGGTGCTCAGCCTTTCTTATGGTTCAACTTTCACAGCCATACATTGCAACTGGAAAAACCATAGC